GGGAAGGATTGGGCAGAATCTGATGCAAATCAGTACAGTTTAAACAATTCAGAGAATCTCCACATATTTCTTACACTTTTGTTGCTGCCACTGCCAATTTGTAACCCAAAGAATAAGAATATGAAGACTGCTTTCCTACAATCCTGATGTTTGAAGCATTTGGATAATTTTACAGTGAAATAAAATTTTCTCTCTCTTAAAAAAATAACACACAAAACTATGGTAATTTTTGTTTGAAATTCACCTGTAGAAAAATTTAATCAATTTATTGAGTTGTATAATTTGAATACAATAAAACTGAACCAATTTAAGTGAAAATTTTGAGTTTTGATAAATGTGTACAGTTATGTAACTGATACCACAATCATGATATAAAGTATTTCATCACTATAAAAAATCTCCTGGTGCCCCTTTTGCTGTCAGTCTCTGCTCCCTACTCCGAGCCCCCAGCAAAGTCTGAGCTGCTCCTTGCCTTTTCTAGAATTTTATATAAATAGTCAGACTGTACGTAGCCTTTTGTGTTAGCTCCTTTCACTTAGCATAGTGCATTTGAAATTCATCTGTGTCTTACTTTTATCACTGGTTCAATGCATTTGAATTACCAAGAAGTATTCCATTATATGAATATTCCATTATGTAAATATAGCACAATATTTTATCCATTGATAGACATTTGGATTGTTTCCATTTTTTTATTGTGAATAAATCTGCTATGAATATTCACGTTGAAGTCTTCGGGGATATATTTTTGTATTTGGAGTAATTTTTTGTGTTGCTAGATTCAAGTTGCTAACATTTGATTAACGATTTTTGTGTTTATCTTCATAAGGGATATTGATCCTGTACCTTTCTTGTAATATCTTTATCTGGTTTTGGTATCAGGGTAATGATGGTATCATAAAATGAAGTGGAAATTGTTCCCTCTTCTGCTTTCTGGTAGAATTTATTTTATCTCTTCCTTAAAATGTTGGAAGAATTCAATAGTGAATCTTTTAAAGCCTGGAATTTTCTTGGGGAGGTTTTTAACTAATTCACTTTACTTAATAGATATAGTGCTATTTCTGGCTTTCTGTTTTTTCTGTAGTGGGTTTTAATGTCTGTATCTTTCAAGAAACTTGTCAATTTCATCTAAGTTGCCAAACTTATAATATTCCTTTAATTTTCTTTTAATGTGTATATGATCTGTAGTGATGTTTTCATTCCTGATGTTGATCATTTGTCTCCTGTCTTTGTTCTTTATCAGTATGCCTACAACCTTATGATATTATTGATCTTTTTAGAAAATCAACATTTGGTATCATTGGTTTTTCTCTATTACTTTTATGTTTTTAGTTCCCTTAATTTTTGTTTATTCTTTCCTTCTGCTCATTCTGGGTCTAATTTGCTCTTTTTCTGGTAACTTAAGATGAAAGCTTAGATCATTTATTTGAAACCTTTCTTCTTTCCTAATATAAGCATTTAAGGCTATAAATTTCCTGTTAACAACTGCTTTAGTTACATCCAACAATGTTTGTTTTCACATTCAGTTAAAAATACTTTGTAATTTACTTTGTGATTTCATCTTTGACCTATAGTTTATTTAGAAGTGAGTATTTAATTTCCAAGTACATGGAGGTTTTCCCAGAAAACCTTTTTATTATTGTTTTCTAACTTAATCCTTTTGTGGTCAGAGAACCTACTTTGTATGATTTCAGTTTTTTTAAAATTTATGGAAACATGTTTTATGGCCTAGAATATGGTCTGTCATGGTAAATGTCTTATGTGTAGTACTGGAAAAGAAGGTGTATTTGCTCTTTTAGGTGATGTGCTCTATAAATACCAATTTGATCAAGAAAGTCACCTTCATTTTGTATTCTGTCAATTACTGTGAAACAATTTTGAAGTATCCAGTTATAATTATGGTTTTGTCTATCCAGCTGTAATTGTGGATTTGTCTACTTCTCTATTCAGTTTTATCTGTTCTAGTTTCATGTGTTTTGAAATTCCGTTACTGGTGGATAAACATTTAAGATTGTTATATCTTGATACATTGACTCTTTGTTATTATGGAATACTAGGGGCCCAGTGCACGCTGCTGGCCCCACTTGCACTCACTGACGGCATGGAGTGATTGGGGCCGGCGCCAGCAACGGGTGCGAGGGCCAGTGCTGCCGTCAGTGGGTGTGAGAGGCAGCTGCTGGCCCCAATCTCCCCTTAAGAGCAGGGGGAGGTGGAGAAGCCCTGAGGGGCGATTGGGCACCGGGTGCTAGCAGAACTGGCACCGGCAGCACGTGCGAGCACCGAGTGGGAGCAAAGAATTTTCAGTAACCACCAGAGGCTCGCCCCAGTGACAGTGCCCCGCCTTGGTCTGGCGCCCCTGCTCACCTGCTCCACTATCCTGCTGCGCTGATGCCCGCCATGATCCGCGTACGCCCCCTAGTGGTCAGCGCACATCATAGTGACCGGTGGTTCGGTTTTTTCACTGTTCTATTTGCATATTAGCTTTTTATTATATAAGATTCCTCTTCATCCTGGCAATATTCTTTGTTAAAAATCTATGTTAATAAAGCAGGTATGAGTATGGTGACTTCAGCTTTCTTTTGAGTAATGTTAGTATGGTATGTCTTTTTCTCTCCTTATACTTTTAACCTGTGTCTTTATATTTAGCCTGTCTGTGTTTATGTGCATGTAGACAGCAGATAGTTGGGTTTTGTTTTTGTTGTTTGATTCAATCTGATAATCTCTACCTTTAATTTGGAGGTTTTTAAAAAAAAGAATATTTTATGTAATTATGATTTGTTTAGGTTTAATTCTACCATCTTATTTTAGGTTTCTGTTAGTTCTGTAAGTTCTTTGTGTCCTTTCCCCTTTTTTTCTGTCTTATTTTAAGTTAGGTTGTTGTTGTCATTTTAATGAATCCCTGTTATCTCCACTCCGGGCTTACTAGCTACATCTATTGGTTATTTTACAGTGGCTGCTCTAGATTTATACACATTTAACTGTTTGTAGCCAAACTTCAAATAATATACCACTTAGATAGAGTGTAAGGTCCTTGAAACAATGTACTGCCATTTCTTTCTTCTAATTCTCATTTCTGTTTTACTTCTACATGTTATAAACCCAATAATAAATTATTGTTATTTTGTTTTAAATACTCATTATCTTTTAAAAAAGATTAAAAATGAGAATAAAAATCTTTAATATTTATTTATATATGGATCATTTCCAGCTCTTCATTCCTTTGTTTAAGTTCAAATGTCCATCTAGTATCATTCTCTTTCTGTTTGATGAACTTTCTTTTAACATTTCTTACACTTGCAGCTCTGATGGTAGTAAATTATTTTAGCTTTTGTTGGTAAAGTCTCTATTTTCACTTTTGAAAGACATTCGTACTAGGTATAGAATTCCTGGATAATATCTTCCCGTATTAAGGATGTTTCTCCATTGTCTTCTGTCCTGCATAGTTTCTGAAAAGCAGTTTATTCTCATTCTCTCTATTCCTTTTAACTAATGTCTTTTTTATCTGACTGCTTTCATTTTTTTTTCTTTATCACTCACTGGTTTTGATGTGGTGTGCCTTTCTGTGGTTTTCTTTATATTTATTCTATTTAGGGTTTGTTAAGTTTTCTTGGGTCTGTGGGATCGTTGTTTTCATCAAAATTTAAAAAAAATTTAGCCATTATTTTTCAATTATTTTTTCTGTGCTCTCCCTCTCTCTTTTTGATTCTAGTTACACATTAGACAACCTAATATTGCCTCCATAATCTGTTTATTTGTTTTTCAGTCTCTGTGCTTTATTTTTGATAATTTTTATTGTATCTTAAAGTTGACTGATTGTCAATGTCTAATCTGCTATTAACCTCATCCAGTGTACTTTTTATTTCAGATATAAATGTTACTGGATTTGCTTTGTATCTATTTCTCTGCTTCCTTTTGTTCTACCTTCTTACTACGTGAAGTATATTTATAATAAATTTTTAACAGCTTTATTGAGACATAATTCACATTGGTATCTATTTACCCATTTAAAGTGTACAAGCCAGTGGTTTTTAGTACATTAATAGAATTGTGCCGCTATCGCCACAGTATAATTTTGGAACATTTTCATCACCCCACAGGGAAACTTTGTACCCATTAGCAGTCACTCCCCATTCTGTCTCACTTATCTGCAGCCCAGGCAACCACTAATCTCTCTTGTCTCTAAAGATTTGGCTATTTAGGACACTTCATATAATGCAGTCATATAGTACAGTATCAGTATAATTTTAGAACGTTTTCATCACCACACAAAGAAACTTTGTACCCATTAGCAGTCACTCCCCATTGTGTCTCATCTCCAGACAGGCAACCATTAATCTCTCTGTCTCTAAAGATTTGGCAATATTTAGGACATTTCATGTAAATGAAATAATATAATATGGGGTCTTTTGTGACTATTTTCTTTCGCTTAGCATAATGTTTCCAAGGTTCATCCAGGTTGTAGCATGTATCAGTGCTTCATTCCTTTTTATTGCTGAATAATATTCCATTACATGGATATACCACATGTTAATCATTCATAAGTTGATGGACATTTGGATTGCTTTTACTTTTAGGCTATTGTGAGTATGACTGGTAGGAATATTTGTGTACAAGTTTTTGTGTGGACATATATTTTCATTTCTTTTGGGGATTCTGCCTATATATCAAAGACATAGTACCTTATATTTTCTAACCTAAGTCCCTGAATAATGTCACTTTGTTATCATGTTGATGAGATATGGTAAGAACTTAACTCTTGTTTATATCAATTAGCCTGTGGTAAAATTGGTTTCATTATATGTCGTTTAGTCACAGACCCTTTTGACGGCAGTAAGCAAGGACTTACTATAGCTAGGAGGAATTGCTGGGTCATATTGTAACTTTGAGTTTAACCATTTGAGGAACTGCCAAATTGTTTTCCAAAGAAGCTACATCAGTTTATTAACTTGTTTAATGCCCTTGTTTGCTAGTCATTTGTCATTTCTGCATCTGTTTCAATGGATTGATTTTTTTTCCTCCTGGTTATGGGTTATTTTTCTTTGCATTCCCGATAATTTTTGCTTGGGTACCAGATACACATTGTTAGGTGCTAGGTTTTGTTGTATTTCTTTAAATAGTGCTGGACTTCGTTCTGGCGTCCAGTCAAGGTACTGGGAGTTAGTTGTGTCATTTTGAAGCTAGCTTTTAGGCTGTGTTAGGGTGGGTCCAAAGCAGCCTTTAGTTTAGGGATGACTTGGCTTTAATACTAAGGTGCTAGCTTTCTGGGGATTTTAATCTGATGCCATGTGTATTACGAATTATTTCCACTTTTGCCTCTGGAAGCATGAACTATTACCAGCCCTGTGTGAACTCTGGGACTTCTTAGACAAACCGTTTTCTGGTGCTTCTCTCCCTGACTTTAGGTAGTCTCCTCTCACACAGATCAGAACTCAACCCAAGGCTCTCGGGGACCTCTGGGCTCCCCTCCTCCCAGGTGTGCTGCCCTGCCAATACTTGGCCCCCCGAATACTGATCTCTGTCTCTTCAAGTCTTGTGACCACCATGCTCTTGAGTTCGCCCTTCTCCGTGCTGTGGGTTGGAAACTGCCTCCTGGCAGTGAGTTCAGGGACTTATAGGGATTGCCTCATTTGTTTCACTCTTCTCAGGAATTACGTCCTGTGCTGCCTTATTGTCCAATATTTGAAAAACAGTAGTTGCTTTATATATTCTGTCCAGTTTTCGATTAGACCTGGAATCCATGATAAATGTGATGTCAGTGCCAAAATCTCTGACTATATTAACTGCTTAAAGCAGAATCCGTTGCGGGGGGTGGGGGTGGAGGGAATTTGTGTAACTGTGGGGCCAAGGCAGAAAGCCTGCCTATAAAGCACAGACATGGTGCCTTTTCTTTCCAACCGAGGATGCCTGTGATTTGAAGAAGAGAGGCCCTGAATTGTCAATATGCTAGCCATTGTTTGAGTAATTGCTCCTTTTAGTCATCCAAATGATATTTATTAAATACCCACTGAGTACTTGGTGCTCTGCTATGCATTACTTCTCCTTATTCCTACTTCTTAGCAGTTGGAGTATGCCAAACCAGTGAAATAAATAATTTTCATGTTCTGGTTACCAGTTGGATTCTTGGGATGTGTCTCCTAAGCTTTGACATTCAGAAACTGGAAGTGGAATATAGTATATTCTCAGCTGCAAAGTTGATCTCATTCCCTTACTGGCCATCTGTTTATTTGTGTCCAAGAATAACAAAAATTTCATAGCCATATCTATATTATTTAATTATTTAAAATAATGAATGGGCTGGACCATGCTTGTCCCACTTTTGAAAAAATTCCTCCCATAGGCTGTGGCTAATACCTCTGATTAGGAATAAAGACCAGACCTACATAAGCATATGTTGTATTACTGTATATGAAGTCATGAGGCTGTGATTAATGATCCTTAAGAATTTTAATGTGGCGTGTCTTACTCCTAAATCTCACTTAAGCTTGGTTGCAAAGCCTGACAAATGAGTCTTTCGTGCATGCCAAGCTAAGACATGTCGCCACCTTCGTGGGGCCTCATTTCCTAAACCTGCCTGGGTTCCTTACAGGTTAAATTACAGGAGCAAGTTTGCTAGGAGTCATAGGGAATTTCCACAGGTCATTCTTAGAGCAGAATAGTTCAGTAGCATTCCTTGCCTTAGAGCCTAGTTCATTTCCTAAACCAGTTCTAACAGTGTCCCCTGTAAGACTTTGACATTAGTTAAATCCTTTCATTATATTTGGGGGGGTGGGGTCAGAAAATCAGGCCATGTTTGCATTCAGGAGCCCAGGAATACACAGTATCATCGACTGATTCCTGACTTAGAGGTCTCACATGGTTTCGTGCTGCCTTTTGGTTTGTTTTTATGTGTGAAACATTTTTCCTTAACACATGGAACAGTACATAATTTTTTGTCTGTGGTTTTCCTCACACAGGAGGGAGGCAGTTTCTTTAGGAGGAAAATATGTGGTGGTAAGTGGCCTCAGTTTATTCCATGTGGGATGTAGACATTTCCCCTGAAAATGGAAGTTACTAGCTCTTTGCAGACAGGCCACTGTTTCTCCCATAGTCCTTTGCAGATGGAAGGGGCTGTGCATGTTTGAAGGCATCATGCTTTCCTGGTGGAATTGGCACCATTTGAATTAAGAAGTCATGTTTCCGAGTCTGAGGATGAGAACACCAAGTTGTTACTTATTTTGGAAAGAACTAAGCATTTGTTTATAGTAAGAATTTTATTTTCCAACAGCTGCTTTTGTTGGCACCTTCTTCCTAAAGATTTCAAGTTGTAGTCTTAGATCTGGGGTGGGAGTAGAGAAGAAAAAATTAATATTGTTAATGTTTTACTTGATAAAAGTTGTTTTATTTGATAGAGGGCCTGCCTGGTATCTTTGTTGCTTGGTGTTTTGTTACTGACACTCGGAAAATGATTCTCTCTTTGTGCCCTTGGCCTCTCAGACTATCCAAAATGTAGGTACTTTTAAAATGTTTGAATGAAGGACATGACCAAAACATTTTAAAATTATTATATCATGTCTTATTAAGATCATGTCTTGCGTATACTCTCATTTCTAAAAAGAGTTTTGTGGACAATTATTATTTCAATTGTTCAAGTTGGATAATTTTGTTGGATGGAGAACCTATGTTCTTATGAAATTGGAGTTTATGAAATAAGATCCGAAAAAAATAGAATGTGTAATTGGGCACATCCTGTACTGCTTTGTGAATCACCAAACCAATGTAATCACCATTAGGCACTTTGGAAACCAGACTTGCATGTCCTTGCTCTGCCTGAAAAGCTAGGAGTCGCCCCTGATGGCAAGTCATCGGGGTGACACCAGGAGCCCCCCCGCTCATGTGAGTGAGCCGGCTGCCTGCTGACTGCTTGTATGAGTCACAAAGGCATCCAGTGCCATCGAGCCAAACCAGGGCTTTCTTTGGTCATTTTAAGGAGTCATGTTGAAAATACAATTGATAAGGTAACATCCAGAAGAAAGAATTAAGTCTATGTGTGGTGCATGATATACCTCAGCTATTGTAGTGAATAATTGTTGGAATAAATCTCTCACTACCTTGGCCAATTTCTCTTCAGTACAAACCCACTTTGGAAGGAGTAAATGGGTCATTGGAATAAACACATTGAAACATTTTGAAAAAGTGAAATCCAAATGTAGGCCCAAATTAGGTGTTTACATCCTCCTGACCTTGTAATGTGTAAAAGCCTTTTATGTGTTCTTAAAATGTTATGCGTGGGGAGGTGTTTGTGGCCGTTTTTCTGGGAAGTGGGTGCATAGATAGCATCAGTGGACTTTCAGAGGAGTCATGGCTCCACAAGATGAAGAAGATTCACTGACCTAGGGATGGGTATGGTGGTAGAAAGCAAACTAAAGTTTTAAACCCAATAGAAAGGGTGATACTTACCCTTGGAAGAAAAAGGAGTATTTATTGGCCTTCACTTGTGCCTGTCTGGAGCACCCCACTCACTGCAACTTCACATCCTTTAAGGGAAGACTGATTCCCCTGCGGGCAGTAGTATTTCGAATAGCTGGGTAGGCTGCTAGGGGACACGGAGCACTTTTTGTCTTGGAGACACTTTTTCTTCCCCTTCGCCAGCCCCAGTCTTTAGCTTTCTGTTGAGAATCTCGGCAGTCCCCCAACTCCCTGAACTCCAGCCCTTTCACACTCCTGCAGTGTTGTCTTCAGCACAGCATTGCACAGTGGTTAAAAATGAGTTTGGATTTGAATCCAAGTCCCATTATCAGCTGTATGACTTTGGGCAAGTCACCTAGTCTCTTTGAAGCTCAGTTTTGTTTTTTTTGTTTTTTCAGCTGTAGAATGGGGATGGTAATACTTATAGGGTTGTTGAAAGGATTAAAGAGGTAATAGTTATAAAGTGCTTTGCATAGAGCTTGGCACATTATAAGCTTCCAGTAAATCTTAGCTGCTGCTATTAGATGGTGAGGGTGTTGATGAATGTGCAATTAACCTTTTCTTTTCCCAGCGTGATTGATTGTCAGCAGCCTGAGGGCAGGAATCATGTTTTATTCTTTTGTGTATCATCTAGACCTCCTAGAATGATATTATTGGTTGCTTTTCTCAGTGTGGGTCCAAGTGTCTGTGAGGCCACCAACAGAATCACTCCACACCACAGGTTTGTGTCTCACCTGCTGCAGTTTTTCTATGAGGGGCACCGAGGTGCTTGTCAAGTGCTTCTAGAGACAGACTTTAGTCAAAAATGCTGGAATTTGGGGCTCATTTCATTGGCCAAGTCCTGTTTGACCTTTCAGTCATGGGTGTTTGGTGAGGTTCGGTCTTTCTAAGATTCTGTAGGTTTTTTACAGGGTCAAGTCTGTATTTGTTGGATAAGACAGACTTGAAGTTGGTTCTGTTCCCTTGTAAATAGGGGGAAAGGCATCTTCAAGTCCTGTGCTGTGAATGGTGCGTCAGCTGTTTCTTCTTGAAGTGTGTTTCCTACTGGCAGCATTCTCCATCCCCCACCCCGACCTCAGCCCTCAGCCCTGCCACCAAGCCTGAGCTCTTGCAGGGTAATCATATCCGTATCTGGCTGTATACCTCTCGGAGCAAAGATTAATTCACACCAAAGAGTTGAGTAGCTTGTGGCAGTCCATGTCTGTCTTCTCCCTCTAAAAATATTGAAATTTATAAAGAGAGTATGCAGAGGTGATATCTTAAGCCAGTGGTTCTCAACATGGATGGGGCTGAGTGCGCACAGGTCACTCCTGGGGAGCGGCTACTGCAGTCTAGTGGGTGGAGGCCAGGGATGCTTCTAAGTCTACTGCACAGAGAACTACCCAGCTCAAATGTCAGTAGTGCCAAGGCTGGTAAACCTCACCTTAAGCCTGAGAGGGATACAAGCCATTTTGTAACTTGTGGGGGAGAAAATTGAGGTCTTTATCTCCCCTAAGTCCGGCCCCTTGTGTGCTTGCCAGGGAGGCAGTGCCTCTGGTAGGGTGTGCTGGATGCAGTTCCCTTGAATTCGGCCTCAGGTCTCATGCAGTCATGCTTCTGTGGTAGTGGGGATGGCTGTGGTCCTAATGCCACTGAGGAATAAGCTGTGTGGAGAGTTGGGAAGAAAGAGGCAGAGGCATTTGGAACTGAGAAATGGTTATAGAGAGCTAGGGAGAGCGGGAGCTTTCTGTCTTGAGATTTGCTTTTGTACATGAGAGTTCACTTGAATCAGCTCGGAGAAGGAAACTGGGTCTTGTCCATATAATTTCCACTTGAGATCAAATCAGAGCAAAGAGCTCCTGCCTGTGGAGAATTACTGAGGATCTGGTTGAGTTCAGATGTTCTTCCCCCACTCATTTTTGGGGATGTTTTTGTTTTTGAGCATCTTTTTTAAAAAAAAATCCTCACCCAAGGAGATAGCTTTCATTGATTTTATAGAGAGAAGAGAGGAGAGAGAAGAGGAGAGGAGAGGAGAGAAGAGAGAGAGAGAGAGAGAGAGAGAGAGAGAGACCGACCTATCAGTTACCTCCCTTGCAACCTAGGTATGTGCCCGACTAGGAATCGAACATGCAACCTTTTAGTGCATGAGACAATGCTACAACCAACTGAGCCACACAGCCAGGACTGTTTTTCAGCACCTCTGCTCCCCTTCCTTTACCTTCCCAGTTTTTTCCCTGGCCTTCCTTCTCCCCACAAGCACAGAGACATTGAGGGACTTCTGCTCCTCTAGGGAAGGAGCCAGTACGCGTGGCAACAGCAGCATTCTTACTGGACTGCTTGTCCCTGTTACTGTGATAATCCTACACGTCCAGTTCCCGCAGATCTCACGGGGACTCGTTTGCCTTACTCACTTACTCGAGCAGGGTTGGCAGCAGCACCAGCAGCAGGCATAGATGGAGTGACTCATTTTGCGTGATGTCTGTGGGCCCAGCCCTGTGTGCTGTGTCCCCCTTTCAGGCATTCTGACAGAAACTTGCTTCTCTTGAGTTCTAGAATCACGTGTAACAGTGACTTTAAAAAGAAAAGAAAAGGCCGTATTCCCTTCCTGAGCTAGTGGAGGCAGCAGGCACTTCCAGGACACGGGAGAGGCCGAAAAGGAGGCCTGAGCCCGGGCAGGTGCTGGGTGCCTCTGCTTTGTGGCTCGGTGCCCTTTCTCATCCTGGACATGTCATAAGACGGAAGCATGCCTCAGAGCCTACCAGGATCTGCTGGTGGTTTCCAGCGTCTGGTTTGGGGAGAAGTCGGTGGTGCTCCCAGGCAGCCCTCAGGAAGGCTCAGGGCAGACACTCCGGGCCTCACCGCTGAGCTTAGACGAGGGCTTCCTTCCAGGATTTCTGGGTCATTGGTGAGTGTGGGTGGGATTGTAGGCTGTTTTGTGGGCGAGGGGAAGATACTTGTGGCAGGTAGGTTTTTGTGAACCCACCTGCACATGTAAATCTCTCCTTAATGTCTCACCTCCTCAGTTTGGGTGGAGAACTTGCCACCTCCAGGTTCCTCCCTGGAGACAGCTAAGGGCTGTCTCAGGTTTGGGCCAAACACTGGCTCAGCCCCATTGTGCATCCCTGGGCCTGGGCCTCAGTTGTGGAAAAGCTTGTTTTTTGCCCCGGGCAGGCCTTGTCAGACTTTTGTTCCTGGGTTGTTGTGTTTTTTTTTTATGTCGTCACATGGTCTCTTTCCGGAAAGACAAAGGAATCTATCCGTCCAAGCCACCTGACTTTGCAGAGAATACAGTTGTAACACAGTTATACCTGTTTGTGCTGTTCATTAAGGAGTAAATAATCTCAACTACGAAAATGAAGTGGGAAGGAAGGAAATTCAGGTCTCAGGCTGTGGGTTCATAAACTGGACTTAAGAAAAGTCTTCCTCCTTTCATGGTGCGAGCTTTCTTAGTGTTTTCTTCGTTAAGAACAGTTTATACAAGTGTTTTCTCCTTTCAGGTAAAAAAATAGAGAACCATCTACAAGTTGTGTTGGTTTGTCCAATGGAATTAGAAGTAATGGAGAAATTTGTATTCCTCAGTGAAAATATGGCAGGTAGGAGTCATGTGTCACCAAGATCCTGAAATCTGGATTGTATGTACACTGTGACAAAAGCATGGTAAGGTAGTGTTGGGGCAACAGGGACAAGGAGATTTTATTCTCCCCATGAACCTGTTGGATATTTTGGGGATGTTCTGAAGGAGGAGTTCTTTCAGGCTTGGAGAACTGTGTATACCCTCCCTAAGGACTAAGAGCTTCTCTTGTGAATGAGCCCCAGGCCTAGAAGCCCATGGGTGATGAAGGTTAGGGTGTATCTTCTTTCCTTACTCTGATGAGGCATTTCTTAGGATAGACTCATAGTAAGAGAATAAAATTTTTAAAAATCTATTTGTTTATTCTGGAACGATACAGCTCTTTGTGCACAAATCCAAGGAAGTACAAGTGAGGATTAGGTTTTATAGTTATATTTCAAAATGAGAAGGGAGCAATAATCAAATTTATCAGACAAGTAGGTTGCGTGGTTAATAAATGGCGGCAGGAATAAAGCCATGGGTCCAGGATGAGGGCACTCTTTAGAAAAGATTATTTGTAGTTATAGGGCACACCTCGTATGTGGGCTTGGAAATAATTAAAATTGTCACTTTGTGTTTTTTGTTGTTGTTAATCCTCACCCAAAGATATTTTTCCCATTGATTTTTAGAGAGAATGAAAGGGAGGAGGGGAGACAGAGATAGAGAAACATCGATGTGAGAGACACTTTGATTGGTTGCCCTGACGGGGGCCAAGGATCGAGCCTGCAACCAAAGTATGTGCCCTTGACCGGAATCAAACATGCCACTCTTCAGTCCGCGGGCTGATGCTCTAACCATTGAGCAAACCAGCTAGGGTGTCGCTTCATTTTTGAAGGGAATGATCAAAATGTAAAAAGTTAAAGTTGGTATTGCATTCGGTGAAACTTTAGATGTGTTTTATATTTCTTAAAATAAGCTTTTTTTCTATGCATAGAAGTGGAGGTCAAAGAAATCACAAGTGCATTCTCAACAGAGTGGAAATGGGTACTGGAGTTTCCCGTATATCTAATTATGCTTGTAGTTACTTGACATTTTACAGACTCAGTGAAAAGTTTACTCACTGAACACATGCCGTGTGCACGGGATTAAACAGTTTATCTGGTAATTGCTATAGTTTAAGCAGGAGTGTTGATAAATCTATATACAGTGAACTAGCTTATATTTGCAGGTATGGCTTGCTTAATAATTGTTATTTAGTTTCCTGGGAAAACTTCAGTTTCTTAACATTTCCATGCTTCTTATTAGTGAGTTTCCTCAATTATTTAATCTTAAAATATGATTGAAGCAATAATTTTGTTAGATTATTATCTGAGAGATCTCCCCTTTTGTATAGTCCTAACAATTAATTTCATCCTCTATGTCTATTGATGTGAACTAGTGAAGATCCTAGTTTGCTAATAGGACCACAGTTAAAGGGGCATTTATGTGGTTGGTATGAGATACTTGTCTTCATTGTATTAATCATTTGCACTAACCAATAAGTTTTAAGTTCTTTTTTTAATTGATTGATTTTAAAGAGAGAAGAAGGGAGAGAGAGAAACATTGATATGTTGTTCCACTTACTTATGCATTCATTGGTTGATTCTTGTATGTGCCCTGACCGAGGATCAAACCCGCAATCATGGTGTATTGGAAGGACGCTCTAACCAACTGAGCAACCCGGCCAGGGCATATTTTAAGTTCTAAATATAGGATGGTAAAATACAGGATATATAAAATGCTGAAAAGATTTATTTCTCTAAAAGTAAAGAAATCCTTCTCTGGGAAGCTGTGGTGAGAAGGATTCTACGCTGTACTGCCTGCGTCAGGTTCTCTGGCAAGACCTTCACAACTTCGGTGTACTGGAGGATAATGCAACTTGGGGTAAGAAGGCTGGAACCCCGCTCCACCTTGCCACCTGCCAGCTGTGAGGTCTTGGATGAGCGAACATCTTTGTCAGCACCCATTTACCTTATCTTTAAAATAGAAATAGTATTGCTGTGTGCTGGGTTGCTTAAATGAGATGATGGGACGCTGAGGTGGTGGGGCCTCCCCTGTCACATGTGCTCAGTATGTGAGGGTTCCTTTCCCTGCCTCCTACCTCCTGGGAAGGGAGGACAGAGCGAATTGACTTAGAATTGTGTCTAAGTTCAGTTGGTGTGTTGCATAACCTTAGTTATCTGCTTTTCCTTTCAGTTCTTCCTTGGTAGACAGCCGGTTAAAAGGGGATGGGGCTAGGGTTGCAGAGAGGAAGCTGCTCAGAGCAGGCTTGGAGGAGAGGAAGTAGCCTGCGTCTATTCAGTGTCAGAGCACACTCAGTATGACCCTGGGCATCCAGTGTCCGTTACACCCAGCGCACTCTTTTAAAATGGCTAACATTTCAGTGTTTTGGCATTGAAAAGTAAGCGTTAGTTATTTGAAAAATTTCACTTATGCGTAACCCCCTTATTTTTCTGTGGTACAGGACAGGTAAGGTATATCAGTTGGCCTGGGTAGAATTTAAATCGGTGTTAACAGTGTAATCTCTGAGGATGCTAGCTTTCTTTCCTGAGGTGTCAGCCCAGGTACTTAACGGCACCTCCTCCTGGAAATTTTCTCGAATATCTGTCACTACTTTCAGGTACATCTCATATTTTAAACCGTGTTCCTAGGTTACTTAATGACTTGAGCACATATAGCAGAGATAGACAGGCAGGCCATTGATTTTTGAGATAAAGAACAACTATATAGCCAGGGAGGGAATGACACAATCAGTTTATAAGTTAGAGTGGTTCAGGGTTCTCTGCTTTCTCAGATTTTGTTGTTCTTAGGAATCATTGATTTCATGGATTTAAAAACAAAAAACAAACAACAACCTTCACCTTTGTGCATATTTCAAAGTGACTGTCCTGTGAGGATAATCTTGCTTTCTTTAATCTGGAATTTTTTGTTCCCCAACTGGCCATTCTAGTATTTTGATTAGGATTTTAGGTGATTTTAAAAATCTGTATATTCTGACAGAACTCACTGTCAGCCAGATATACTTAAAATGAGGGGTATCTCTGAAGGTTTCACAGAGGAAGGGCAAAGACTGTGCATCTCTAGTTCACCCTGTATTTATGGACCCTAACAGAGAGCCTGGTGTATGGTGGGTTCTCCAAACATAGTTGTCCAAAGAATAAATAAATGAGCAGCAGGAACGCCAGGTAGAGAGGGGAACAGGTCTGCCAAAAGGTGTGTTCTATAGACTGTTCTATAGCCTGTGAGAGGCCTTGAACATCAGGCCAGAGGTGTGTTCTATAGACTGTTCTATAGCCTGTGAGAGGCCTTGAACGTCAGGCCAGAGGTGTGTTCTATACACTGTTCTATAGCCTGTGAGAGGCCTTGAACGTCAGGCCAGAGGTGTGTTCTCTACACTGCAGGACAGGGGTGGTTGGTAGATGCCCCTGTGCATGCTGACATGCTGATTGATGGTGGCACTCCTGGGTCTAGCCAGAAGGAGGGCTTTGAGCTTGTGGACATAAGGCAGGGGAATGGAGCAGGATGTGGCAGCCCAGTTGCTTTGAGTTGCTCTCTAGTGTATTGGAAATGGCGAGTAAAGGAATCAGTCTTTGTGTTAGACCATTTTCAGCATGTACCAGTCTGCCTTCACAGATCCCCAAAATGGACACACACAGGCTGGCCAGGGGTCTTTGGGGTTGAGGGGTGGGAGGACCTGGAATGCGTGTCAGGGCAGTGGAGCTGCGAGATGCTCCCAGCAGTCAGGTCCCTCCATGGGTTGCACCAGACTCAGCTATTCACTGACAACTCTGTCGTGGCTGGATCTCGAAACTGATTGCTGAGTGGGGTACGGAAAGTGCTCCCTGTCTTCCTAGAGCTTGCAGCCTTGTTGAAAAAATAACAGCCAAAACAAACAAAACAAAACAGACTAAAACCCCAGGAGTATATTTGCAGTATCGCTCCAGGACTGAGAGCACGGGTGTTGGAGCCTGAGTGCCTAGGTTTAAAGGAGGGGGTAGGTGGGTGGGTGGGAAGAGATTAACCAAAGAACTTATATGCATACATGCATAACCCATGGCCACAGACCATAGTGTGGTGAAGGCTTGGGGTCGGGGGAGGGGACAGGCTAGAAGGAGTCAATGGGGGGAAAAGGGTACATCTTTATTACTTTCAACAATAAAGATAAATTTTTTTAAAAATCCTTGCTCTTTTACTTATCAGCTGCGTGACCTGGGGCCAGTGCTTAATGACAACCTCTCTCGGTTTGGTCATCTGGTGATAGTATCACCTATCTAGTCATAGAGCTGTTGTGAGGATTAAATGAGTCAATATATGCACACCTAAAGTGCTGAGAGTGGAGTTTGGCACCAGTAAGTGCTATAATTACTTGGGAGGTAGAGTCCCTAAGCCTCAGTTTCCTCTTCATAATGAGAACTTCGCAGGATTAAGAAGGTGGTGAGACATGCCTGCAACGCATCCCAGCAGATGCTCAGTATAATAACCATTGTCATTCTTATCACTTGGTCCTGCCCCTTGGTGTAATTCCCTCTGTGAACTCTTCTCCCTCCTCTGGAGCAAGAGCTTGAAGTCTCTGGCTTGTGCATAACTAAGGTAATGCATGAGCTCAGCAGGGGCTTCCTGATGGCTAATCCACAGTAACCCGCTTTCTGGGTCTTTTCCCCCCACATGAGAAGAACTAGCAGGGCGAGGACATTGTGGTGTCCTTTGAGAGGAATGTCACCCCAGGGGTCGGGGAAGTGTGTGTGTGTGTGTGTGTGTGTGTGTGTGTGTGTGTGTGTTTGTTTGTTTGTTTCACCGTGGAGTTGTGTTGCTCGGTGCATGACTTCTCCAGGCTCATGTGCTTCATCCAGGACATGAGTGGGGACAGGTAAGAGGACGGAGGCTCCGTCAGGTTCTCAGCAGGTTCCTTGGTGTTGAAAGAGTTTAAACCCACACTATCAGCCAGTCATAATTAGGAAGAAGTGGGACAGCACCTGGGACAGGGTGGGGAGGACACCTCTTTCCTCCCCCACTAGGCAGTGGCAGGCAAAGGCAAAGGGGAGGAACTATGGGTGGGTAAAAGGTTTTTGCACAGTGAGTGCTGGTGGTCTTCTGATCTCTAGGGGGCCTTTGAACTTCTGGAGCTGGTTTGGAGGCATGGAGGATCCTTTTTGTCTAAGGTTGTGTCATGGTTTTGAGTTTGGGCCTTAGGGACAGACCTGGGTTTCATTCGGGAATTCTTGACTTGCTGGCTGAGAACCTTGAGCAAGTGCTGTTTCTCATAGGTAAAATACCAACTGATTACACTGGGTTTATGCATATTAAGTGCTTAGCATAGTTCGTGGCAAAAAGTATATGAAAACTTACCCACCACTGTTGGTGGTGGTAGCAGCAGTAATCACCAGCAGTAATCAGGTGCCAAGAAGATAGAAGGGGAAGCAGGCGGCTTCTCCAGGGGCAGAGAGAACATTGCCCTCTAGATTGTGAAGGACGCTTCGCGGTAAGACCTTCTCCAGTTCAGTCCTGGAGGAAAGGCAGGAAGGTTGGGGTGAGGGTTGTATGATCTTCCGGTGCCTTCTCTTTAGACCTGAGACCCAGTGGAATCAGGCGGGGGAGGGAAGAGCTTCCAGGAGGGAGAGGTTTTGTAGTTGGTGGTAGTTGTTCAGAGGGAGGTTTTTGTTTATTGCTCTCCTCCCACCGTTTACTGTGCACTTTGTGCTTGGATAGGATGGTGCTGTGAAGTCAAAGGACGGTAATGTTATAAGCACATACTCTAGCTTTTCAGAAGGGATTAGGAAGCAGTAACAGCTTTCGCTGAGTAATATTTTTGCTTCGTGGTGAAACCTCTCTTTCAGCAGTATTGTTCTATAATCTTAACAGTGACTGCTTTTTTTTTTTTTTTTCCTCCTGACAGGAGACATTAAATAAGTGAAGCATCTGCTCTTTATGTGCTTTTCTCAGGCTTTTTTATGAATAAAGTAGCACTTGTCTTTAAGCACCTTTGATAGGAATTTAGATAACAAACCATGAAAAGAGATCATTCTCATCCCTAAGTCCCTGTGGCCTTGACAGTGAACCCATGATAGAAGGGCTAGACGCCCAGACCACGGGGTTGATTTAGAGACATTTTCCTGGTTATATAAATTCTGTACTTCTGGCCCTGAAATAGGAAGAGCCCACCTTAAGCTTTGGGGGTCTCCTTACTACTTCTAAGTCATTCTTGAAGACTTAAAAAAATTTTTTTAACATGACCAATTTTTAAATATTATATTGGTTTAAACTTTTGGCTCTTTCTGAGAGAAGATTGCTTCCTCTGGTTTGGTCATAGATGACAGATGGCTACAGGGAAACCTTCTTCTAGGTAGAGAGGAGAGGGGAGGAAGGGGAGGGTATAGAAATTGGGATGGGGGGGTGGGGTACAAGTAGGAGTGGGAATCATTGTCATACAAAGAGTGAGAAAGGAATGAAGAGGAGGGAATAGAGGGAAGAGCAGGTTTGAAGACAAAGGGAGAAAGAGGGCAGAAGGGTGAAAATAGGGAACAAGGAACAACCTAGAGAAGATAGAGTGTTAGGCAGGGATGGCCAGAGATGAGGCTGAGACAAAAAGGTGGAAGTGGATGAATGGGGAGTGTGGGGAGGGTGCATTCGATCTGGGGGAGACAAGTGCCCGAGGGATGCCTCTGTGGCTGTGAGACTTTCAAGGGAATTAGAACATTTTGGGTGTCCAGGGTGACATCTGGAACCTGGTTGAGCTGGGGAGCACTTGGGCATTTGTGTGTCTAATGGGATCACCCGAACTTTCTCGCTTCGGAGTGAGGAGGGAACAGTAGAAGGCAGCTTCGCCTGTCCTTGTATGTTAATTTTTCATTGTCTAGTGACTAAGGGCTATCTTTGTTGGCTCACCTGGTTCTACCTTTCCACCTCCTTTCTTGAAGAGCGCTTCTCTGTAACTAACTCAGTGACTCGTTTCACTTTAAGAAGAAGGAAATGCTCTGTTAGACTTTCTCAAACTCTGCACACCTTTCTTCCTTTTTCTCCCCCATTGCCACCAAGGATCATTGTCTTCCTGCTCAAGGATCCCCTGCAAAAAGGCTGTGTTTGTTAGTTAATTGATTAGAATGCATAAAATAATCGTGAACTTCAGAATCATCCTTTATTCCTTTTCTTGGGTAGAGGTTTGTTGGGTTTTTAAAGCATATATAAGTGCCCAAACCCATTTATTTTAGACATTTTAATAGCAGTCTTTCTAAAATACATTAAAGTGTACTGCTTTCTTAAACTAAATCTGTGAGACTCAGTTTATCATCATGGATATCAATATTTTTTGTCCTCTTCTGGTTTTGAGAAGACAGAAGACTGAGGTAGTTAAGACTGTGGAGATATATACAGGGCTGGGCAAAAGTAAGTTTACAGTTGTTAGCATGGAAAATAATACAGTAATTAATAAATAATCATGCAAGAATAAACTCTGTTTTATGTACACACGGCTGTAAACCTACTTTTGCCCCACCCTGTATTCTGTGCAGGGCGCCTGGGTGTAGTGGTGAGCAAGACCGACTCCTCCCTGCACTGTTGATGCAGACCTGAATGGTGATGCAGACCTCACTTACACATCCGTTCGGTCAGTTACACCTCTGCTCTGCAGACACCAAGTTCCTCCATCCATATGCAGTTTTGGGTTTGATTTTTGGGGCGGGGGAGGGGGGAGAGAAAGAGGGTCAAGAGAAGGGCACACAGTGATTTAACCGAAAATAGGATAGTATGTTGGTCTAGGATTTTTCTA